TTTCCCAAAACCATTCTAACGCCCAAACACACCTGAAACACTGCACATGGACCATGTAAATCTTGATTTTGACAGTTCAGAGGAGGTCATCAAGTCACTCTGAGCCATAAGGATTGCTGATTTTCATTGTCCACAACAACACGTAACTCTTGCTTTAATGCAGAATTTGTAATTAGACGGGAATGCATCTTCAACAACATGATGAATGCATATGGGCTATTGGCATGTTTCAAACTGATTGAACTCGATGAGAGGTAGCCATGTTCAATGTGTATCAGCCTGTGATTTGCAGACTGTGGAAATGTGAAACCAGCCTCTAAGTAATCGAACCCAAACATCCAATCAAATCACTGTTCACTTGCACAAGGAGTTCAAGGTATTGACAAGATGATTAGAAATCACCTGCATGCTTGCCAACCATGTGTTGTACCACTGGTACAAATTGACACATTCCAGCCAGACGCCATTGGTGTTTAGAGTGTAGCAACTGGGGAATCACCGATGTACTTCTGTAATATTTTCAGATTCACTGTGGACTTTCTTGATTGGCATGGTTGTGTCTGGAAGCATCCTTACATCATACAAACGTCAACATAAGGCAACATGACAAATTTGAGGGTGTGTGTGTTATGATACGGGGCAGGATCACTATAACTGCCAGTACACAACTGCACATTGTTCATGGCAGGATCACTGGACAGAACTACTGAGACAACATACTGACGCCAATTATGGTGTCGTCTGTGCATCATGCTGGGCGACATTTTATTTTTCAAGACGATATGGCCAACCATGCACGTATTGTAACTGATTACCCCCAGCAGCTAAACATCACCAGAATCAGTGACCTGCCATGAGTCCTGACCTTTAATCCCATAGAACATGTCTGGGAAAAGATCGGGAGACGTGAACACTAACATCAAAGGTCATTCGCTAAGTTAGCCAAACTGGGCCAGGCTCTGCAAGATGAGTGCACAGGACTCCCTCAAATTGTCTTTGGGAGATTTATTTAGACCATGCTATGCCGTATAAACGAATGTGTGATCAATTGTCGGGGCGTCTCAAACATTCATCCTTTCTACTACACCCCTGTTGTCTTTGTTGGTGGTTTGCACCTTTACAATAGATCGCCTGATTGTTCTGTTGATTGTCATGTTACACCCAGTCTTTCCTTTTTCATTACCATCACTTGATACCTCTTGTATGTTGTATGTAATCCTCTGTTAGTTTTGAATAAGCCCTACATTTTTAGGAGGGTAAGAATGAATGAGTTCTTTTTCATCTTTTGAGCCATTTTAGACAAGGGATGTAACTATTTCTATTATTAATGAGAGTATGGATGTCAATAAATAAAAGTTACAAACACCATTTCAATAATCATAAGAAATAAATCCTAAAATCAGTGTCCACTGTACATGCTGTATGATTCTGACTATATCATAAGCATGTGTTTATGAATCACAATGAGTGAGTGAGTGAGTGAGTGAGTGAATTGGGTTTAACGCCGTTTTAAACAGTATTCCAGTTATATCACAGCGTGTCAGCTTAATGTGGGAGGAAAGCCCGAAGTGATGCGGGTCTCAGACGTTTACCACTTCAGTGAAACCTACAAGCACGGGTATGGTGCTGACAAACCTAGAAACATGATCGGGGCGAACTGGGAATCGAACCCACAATCATAGATTTCTGGCGTGACCAAGGGACGCAACTCTGCACAGCGAATCGCGACGCCTTAGACGAAATTTCACATAGATCTTATCTATGAAGAAGTCCAGAATTTCACATTTGGTTTTCTCAGTAAACTTCAGGTGACATTTGCTTTCATGTTTGACAAATTGTCCTGATCCCCGAAGATAGAGATGTAACTATATCTATGGTCACAATGTATATTAACAAATGCCACATGGATCAATGAACAGTTTTTTTCTTGAATTTGAAAAATCAAATGTTTTGAAATTACTTAAATTGGTTCTTTTCTGAGATCGACAATTTTTTTTGAAAGATCACGCATATTTTTTTAGTCTTCAAGAATCCACATGGTATTAATTCCACTTACTCAATAGTTCTGTCAATATCAAGACAGTCCTTCCTTGACTGTATTAAGGATTATAGTTAATCTTTGAGACAGCAATTGGGTTGCATCAAACAAGTTTCAAACAAGTATGCAACCCAAAAAACAGTTGTTTACAATCAAAATGGACTTCCTTTATAAAAATCCTTATTACTCTTCATACAATTTCAGATTTGTTTGTTTGTTGCTAAAGGCTGTATTTCAGCTATATCACAACAGCCTACACAATCTAGACAATTGGGATAAGATGACGATATGCCTGAAGACCAATTTTGTACTACTGTAAATCACAGAATTCAACGTCATATGCTTGCATGATCACATGTTTCATATTGTGATAAAATCCTGTGAATTATCTAATATATAGTATAAATTTTCTTAACACATTTTTACTATCTCCCTCTAAAACTTGTGATCAAGAACACATCTTAAAGTAGGACAAAATACAACATTGCTTTTCAGAACAAACAGATTTATCATTATTCACACTCTGGAATGTTTGACGAGATTGAGATCCATGATCATATGTTTGGCCAGGCTTTTTTTATTTTTAGGATTACAGATTTTACAGCCAGGGTTGGAGGAGGGGAAAAAAAGAAGAAAAAGAGCCAGATGCATTTATTTTAATGCAGAATACCTCTGGCCTACTTAATGAACATATTCTGTGCTCAAAAGACCACCATTTGTGACGATAAAGCCCCTTGTAACAATAAAAATTCTACCACTTCCAACACAGACAATTGTCAAGGGAGGCTATTCATGTTCGGCTTCGAGATCAACAAAGATCGATTATGCATCTCTATACTAGTTTACAACAGTAAATTCATATGTTTTTTATTAAGAGGTGAGGATAACAAATAAAATAACTGACTACGTGGCTATTGGCGGGGAAAATATATATATGAAAATCTGATTTCTTTAATACATTTTCTCAAAAATTAAGAGTCGGCGGGTCCGTAATCCGAAAAATATAAAACGCCTGGCCTCAAAATCAAAATGAAAGATACTGGGTAATATTAAAGTCTTTATATATTATATAACAACACACTTGACTCAATAAGTGCATAAACAAAAGAGGACTGAAAAATGAAAAATAAAAATTCACTCACAAAATATATTTGAAAGAACCATGTACTAAGGTGCGTTTGTTCTGACACACAACATGCCCAAGTAAGTAGGACTTTATCCTAAATCAAACCTATCAGCAGTACACCCCATTGGTTTATATGACATGTTACATGGCCATAATCAACTGATAATATTATAATATTTTATGAAACCGAAACATATTCTTTGAGCATGTTTATCTAAAAGTTTCTTTCTAAATGTTTAAATAAACAAACATTTTAACAATAAAAACAAATTACAAACTACTTTCCTTTCACGGGGTCCGTGTGAAATAATGTTATTTCACTTTTGAACATGTTTGTACAAGTTAAATCAAATCAAGGAACTGTCATAAATTACTGTTTACCATTTAGATTTTTTTGCCACAGCTCTTACTAGTTGACTGTCGAGTATGCAAATTACGTTTCTTACGCAATTCCTCAGGTGAACAATGTCGACAAGAGGGGAACACATCATTTCTGCAAATTGGCACTGGTACCACACCGAACACAAACATCAGCATAAATACCACAACTGAAGGATGGTACTTCAATGTCATTCTCACATTTTAGGTTCTTTTTTACAAAAACTTTCTTCAGCACCTAATTCACACACAGAGTAGTGGGATTCATCAGCTCCTGCAAGTTGGATCCACATGAATATTCATACAGCTCTAGAATTCTGTCAAGAATTATTAAACTTGAGCATTCAATTTTCCTCTCACAGTTAAGAACTCTTGGTTTTTCATTCTCTGTGCAAACACATTCCTTTGAACTGTCTTACAGGCTTGGGCAGAGTGAGTGAGTGAGTGAGGTTTTACGCCGCTTTTAGCAATATTCCAGCAATATCACGGCGGGGGACACCAGAAATGGGCTTCACACATTGTACCCATGTCGGGAATCGAACCCGGGTCTTCGGCGTGACGGCTTGGGCAGAGGGACTGAAGGTTATGCCATGAGAATTAAGTGTTGGTGGCCTTTTTTTGCATTGATGTGCAGTGCTCTTCCGACGTATTTGTTCCATAAACAGAATCAAAAGACTTTTAATGATGACATCACCAACTGGCACAGGATCAGGCAACCAGTTCAGACTGTGGACGTCTTCATGACAGAGTCATGGGGGCAGACAAATCTCACAATCAGCCAGGCCACATTTCTTTATCATGCACATGTAACGTCAGCATTCACAGCAGTGATCCATGATCTTCTTTAGATTTTGTTTGACTCTAAGTTCTCCTGCCGACATTCCTTCTAACGAAATTGTCTCATCCATTTCCTTGAGATAGGTCACCATTGTATCTTGGTTTTCAACTGACGCAGCATGAAACAGGTAAACAAAGGCCTTTTCTCTAACACTCTGCACGTTATTGCAGGACATTAATGTTTTCAAACTGTGCTTCCATCTCGGCACGCATTGGTCCACTGCAGTTAAGAGCCAAGTTTAGAAGAGACATAACTCGCTCTGGTGGGTTTCTCCACGAGGCATTAGGGCCAGTCCTCACTGCTATCAACATATCTAAGTCAAGGGACTTGTACAAGGCAATGAGGCTAGCCTGCACAGACAAATAGTTACATCGGTGATCTGGACCACCATCTGTCTGGAGCAGGAGAACTGGTTTCACAGATCTTCTCTGTCAAATAGTATCTTCCCTAACTCTGTTGCATGTCGTATAGGTGACGATGATTAAAAAACAGGTTCTTTTGGGCCAACAAATACTTGGCCTTGGTAGAATGAGCTTGATGATTCATCAGGAATTTCAATCAACATGCTTACACTTGAAATAATGCTACATTTTGCGAAGTCATGATCAGAAGCAACTAACTTCTTGCCTCCAGACACCAGCACAGCTTTCCCACGTTCAACCGCTGCGATTGGATTCCCTGGCTCTCCAACCTTGCAAAAGTTTTTATCATCCATTGCAGCCAAGTCTGTAATAGTAATATTTTTTAAATTTGTATACTTATCCTGCATTACTCCGCATTACATTTACTGCTGTCTTTGACAGAGAGACGAACTGTTTGAGATCCAGCTGCTGAAGAAAGTTGTTTCCATCTGTCTAAGAAAGTTGTTTCCATATGTCCAGGAAGCAGCGCCCCCTCCCACACAGTCGGCACGTGACCCGGAAGTCATGACGTCACATCAAAACACATAACTGCTTTAACATAACATCGGAAACTTCATGGGGAGGCAGCGGAGCGGAGAGGGGGGCACTTAGACTTCGTAATGCAGGATAAGTATACAAATGTAAAAAATATTTAGATTTTACTAAATGTTTTAACTTATCCTGCATTACTCCGTATTGCATCATTATCAGACGGCACAGCCGGTGGGCATACCTTCAGATGTTGAGCCATAAGAAACCCTCGACAAGGTCCGATGAAACCGCACCGCATGTACAAGAGATGACTGGAATACTAGCGACCATTCCTGTCGAAGGAAACAAGAGTCGATGCAAAAGAGGGAACCCGAAATAGGTGACAGAAATAGTATGAGGCGGGAAAGCCAAAACTAGAACTGACCTAAGAGCGAATGCGGAACGCAGTAGAACCCTCTTATCTGGGGTGATAAACACCAGAGAGTTCGACGGGCTCCGCCGGCAACATCTTCCAAGGCAACATCACGAAGGTAGTGGCTGGCGAAAACAGTGTCGGATCGCCAAAAACAGCCTTCCATGATCGATTTGAGGGAACAGTTATTATGATGCCATGGTAGATGCGACCGACCGAATCTCGTGTGGGTTGTTAGCCTTGGGGGGGGGGGGGGGGGGGGCAATCTGGCGACTTTATAAGCTTGGAGGATGACAATCTCATTAAAATCAGATCTTAGTTCTCGCTACCGCTTAACAAAGATCTGAGGACATCTCATTACAGGTCACGTCAGACCGACCTTGCGCGAACTTTGACCGACCAATGGAATGAATTGCTTTACGGCAATATTTTCAAATTGGCGACAATGCTTCGAAACATATTTTGACAAATGCTCGATTAAAAGTTTGAAACCTGAACAAAAGAACATTCTGGAATCGCTAATAGAGGGTCTAGATTGTATGGATTCAGTCGTTAAACCTGTAACTATTGTTCGGAACACCCCATGTTAAAGTTTTTGAGGATGCATGATCAGAAATCACATTCCGACTGTCCCTTCATGATCTGGTAAGCGACACTCTGATTGGTCGGATGAAAGGTCGTTCTGATGTGACCTCTACTGGGATGTCCTTAGATCTTTGTTTAGTGGTAGCGAGAACTAAGGTCTGATTTTAATAATATTGGGAGGATGACCGCCCGGAGCCACAGGGAGATAGTATTCCGGCTGACCTCTGACTGCGACGAAGGGGAGACCGGCAGGAAAAGGCGTTTCCTAGACTTGCGGCAGGCTTTAGATCGTCATAGGAAAACCTTCAGGGCCCTAACAGGGCATAATAAAAGCTCCTCCACATCGTCGGCACCCACAATCGACGAAAGGGGAGGGATGGTGAATGATCTATCAGGCTGTCCTGGAAGTTGATTCTTTGCGATGAAGTCCCAGCACAGCCCAAGATGAACTACGCCATGAGTCCCACGTTCAAACCGGACACGAGAGACGTCGAGGGCATGGAGCTCACTAACCCGGGCAGCAGTAGCCAAGGCCAGTAGAAACACTGTCTTCTTCGTTAAGTCGTAAAAGGAAGATGGGTGGAGTGGTTCGAAGGGAGCCTCCCGAAGAGCCTTAAAGACCACATTCAGATCCCGCGCAGGCGGTCTGAACTTGGCTTTCTGGTCTTCGAGACAGAACGAGCGCAGCAAGGCCTGAAGTTCGGGAATTTTCATCATTCTCCGAACGTCTGGGATGGCAAGAACAGAGTTGATGGCGACCAAGTACGTGGAGATGGTAGAGCCTTTTAATCGACATGTGCTGCGCAAGTACAGAAGAAACTCAGCCAGGAACTGCGGTGACGCTGTCATTGGAACCTGGTGCTTGTCAGAGCAGAATGCCTGGAACGAGGACCATTTATCATCATATAGTCCCCGTGTTGATGGACGATGGGCTAAAGCAATAGCCTTGGCTGCTCTAGTCAAATAGCGCTTGGCTCCTAGGACTTTCTGCAGATGTGCCAGGCGTGCAGACGAAACCGAGCGGGGCTTGGGTGTGGCAACCGACTGTGTGGGTGGAGCAGAAGGTTGGGCCACGCCGGAAGTTCCGGAGGTTTGTCTCTGGCGATGTTTCGGAGGTCGACCACCAAGGCACGACCAAAATCAGTGTCAGATGTCGAGTGGCCTGGATCTTTTGAAGAACCCTGGGAAGGAGAACCTGAGGCGGAAAAGCGTATGCGCTTAATCCCTCCCAGGGAACACTGAAGGCATCGACTGCTACAGTGACTGGATCTGGGACCGGCGAGATGTAAGTCAGCAGCTGGCAATTCTGAGATGTGGCGAACAGATCGATGTTTGGAGTGTCGATCGTTTGACAAAGGACGGTGAAGATCTCTGGGTGGAGTTGTCATTTGGTGGAAGCCACCTTGTCCGGCCTGGACAGATCGTCTGCCAGAACATTCTTGCAACCTGGAATGTGCTGAACATGGAATTGCAGGTCTAATCGGTCCACCAGGTCGAAGAATCAGAAGGTATTGTTGAGCAGGGACTGAGAGAAGAGAATACCCGGATTCCTCAGACACCACACCACGGTGATGTTGTCCATGGAGATGGTCAACTAGGCGTGACAGAGAATGCTCTGCCAGTGGGAGACGGCCAGGATGAGTGCTTCGAGTTCGAGGTTGTTGCTGTGCCAGTTGAGTCGATCTCCGGACCACAGCCCAGCAACTGTTTGAGTCCCCAGATGAGCTCCCCAACCCTGTTTGGATGCGTCGATGAACAGGTGGAGGGTGGGCTGTAGCGCGGTCCAGGAGACGCCGCCGCAGACGTTCGATTCCACCGTCCACCATCGAAGGAAGGGGTGGAGGTGAACCGGGAGGACGATGAGGGACTCCGGATCCTGCTGCCGAATGAAGGGAGCGAGAAACCATTGAATTGGACGGAGTTGGAGGCGACCTCTGGCAGTCTGGTCTTGAGCCAATGTGAGGAGGCCCAAGAGAACCTGCCATTGGCGGAGAGTTCGAGCCTGCTTGAGGGCAGGGTAGAGGTGAGCGAGGATTTTCAACCACCTGTCCCTTGGGTCTTGAAGGAGGTCTTGATCCGTGAGATACAGGCCCCCGATGAACTGCAGACGGAACAATGGGGTCAGCTCCGACTTCGTCTGATTGACGATCCATCCCAACTGATTGAAGAGCCGCAGGGTAAAATCCCTGTGGCGCAGCAGCAACTTCGAGTCCCGGTTGTTATGGATACAGTCTTCCATGTATGGATCAAAGTTGATGTTCCTCAGGTGTAGGTAGGCGGCGACAGGCTTGGTGATTCGTGTGAAAAGAGACGGGGCCGTGGAAATTCCAAATGGTAGAACCCTCACTTGTAATGGGTACCATTGAAAATGAACCTGTCGTTGGGGTGGATGGGCACATGAAGATAGGCGCCCTGGATGTCGAGGCTAATCAGGGAATCGCCTGCTGTGATTCTTGTCCTGAGCAGTCGCAACGTCATCATTCGGAAGTAAGGAGGTCGTTCCAGGTAGCGCCGGTTGAAAGTGGAGAGGTTGTGTATCATACCCCAGCTGGTGGTTCCCTTCTTGGGAATCAGAAACGCCGGGGAGTAAAATCCTGGGTTCCGAGCCTCCTTCCAAAGTAGGGAGTCGATGCTGTCGTGAAGGGACCGAAGTTGGTGTGTTGAATAAGCGTCTGTTGTCGGAGTGGACGTCAGGGGAGGATGTACTGCCAGTGGGAGCTGGTACCCCTGACGGAGGACGTTTGTTACGAACGGGTCCTCCAGTATAGACCAGTTTCTCCCAAACCGGCCTAGTCTCCCACCCACAGGTGTGTCAGTGACTGGAATGGCTGGGGTTGGGAGGTCCCAGTCGTTGAGGTCCCGCCGGTCAAAGCTTGGAGATGGAATCAGCACCCTTGCCGGGGCGACGATCCCTTCGGGCCTGGTAGGTGCCACGGGATTTACCACGACCACGCCCTTTCTGGCCACGAAAGGGCGAGGCATGTTTGGAGACGTCCTTGAGAGAGGAGCAGCGAGGTTTGTAGTTGCCTTTGAGGGACTTGGCCGCTGATTGGTGCATGACATGCTCCAAGGCTCTGAGAGCCGTTTCATCCCTAGCGAAGCTGGAGACCCTGGGGTGTGTAGCGGAAATGGCACCATTAAAAAGGTTAGGACCCGACCAAGGTTGTCGTAGTAAGGAACGCTTGAATTCGGAATCCCATTCCGTGGAAGTCAAGTAACCCAACCGTCGTGTAGCGGTGATCTCCGCAAGAGCGGCTCTCAGATGATTTCGCAAATGGTCGACCTGGCGAAGTTGGAAGGTCATAACAGTGTGTAGGTGGTCAATCCTGTTAGGATTGGACTCCGAGAGATCTTGCTCAATGGCTCTGGCAGAGGAGTCGAGTGTAGACGGTGACTTTAACGAACGCCGCAGTTCCGTTTCCACTAAAGCGAATCGGGAGTCCGGCATACGCATGGTGGCAGACTGGGATGACCCGGTGATTCGATGTAAGTCCTCGTCCACATCAAAGGAGTGGACAGGGAAATCATCACGCCGGACACGAGGAGCCTTGAATGACGGCGTGAGGGACAACCTAGCGAAGTCCTCATCCAACGCTGTAACAAGGTCTGTCAGCATTGGATCGGGTGGTAGCGAAGTCGGGTTAGACCAAATCATAGATTTTTTTTCTCAAGTGCCGAGAGGCAGTCGGAGGCGACGAGGTGTACGACAATCGAGACCAATGAGCACCCGAAGTAGAGGGGGCTGCAGGAATCGGAGTGTCTGTGGTCGGGGCCGTCAGTGGCGCAAGCGTCGCAGGAGGCACCATCGGCGCCGCTGAGGCAGGAGTCGCTTGCGCAAACAATGACTGCATCCAAGCTTGAATCCAAGATGGATCCATAAACGATGACGGGAGGGCGTAGGTGGCGCCGCACAAGTCAAAGGCGCAACACAGGTCAAAGGCGCCAGAGGCACCAGAGTAGTTGGAGGCGGCCGGAGTCTCTTTTTTTCTTAATTTTCGTCGGAGGCGCCGAATAAGTCAAGGTTGACGACGTAGATGGCAGAGGTGACGGTAAACCCGTTATGGGCGATGCCGAAGACGGTGAGGTCGAAGCAGGCGACGTTAAGGGTGGTATAGGAGACCATGAACGGTCGTTTGTCGTGCCATGGGAGGCAGACTCTACGTTGTAAGGCATGTTGGGGTGTCGACGCACGTGTAGAGTGAAGCGTTTCCGAGACACTCGTAGGTAGGCGGCGAAGGAAACCGGCGACAGGGGACTACAGTATCTCCACTGCTCTGTAAGGGTACACGGGGTTGTACAGTCCAGGCAGCAGGGGTGGGGGTCTCGTCAAGATTTATTCCCACGGCAGTAAGAGACATACTGGTATTTAAGCAAAAGCATAACGATGTGCAAACTCATGTGCAAACAATTACGCTTAAAACACACCAAATACAAAGATTTAAATGTAAAATCCCAATAAAGAGCGAATTCAAAACGCAAAACATGAAAATACATGGACACGTTGTGAATCGCAAAAGGGCGGGGGGAAATGGCGGGAAACAAAAATATGCTCGTAAATACCAGACAAGAGCCACAAAACGAGCGAGAAATGTTACCAATTAACAATGGAATGAAGCCAAAGGTAACAAACCATATACAATAAACAACACAGCAAACTTTTGTCGTAGTAAACAACAAAGTTAGGATCATATAAAGCTTTAATATTTCCACAAGGGATACAGATACGTCCGTTCCGTGTGGCTGACAAAGCAGTTATGTGTTTTGACGTGACTTCCGGGTCACGTGCCGACTGTGTGGGAGGGAGCGCTGCTTCCTGGACAGATGGAAACAACTTTCTTCAGGAGCTGGATCTCACACAGTTCGTCTCTCTGTCAAAGACAGCAGTAAATGCAATACGGAGTAATGCAGGATAAGTTAAAAAATATATTAATTTGTAATTGAATATTGACATTTTCTAATACTTATGTCTGTAATTATTTATAATCGATATGCAATAATTGCTGTATCATCAATAAACATGATAAACTATTCAAAATCATCTCTTATCAAGGCTTATCATTTAAGAATTTGGTTTTTGTCAACAACTTTTTTTTCCAAACCTCTAGAGCTTCATTCAATTCTCTGTACTTTGGCTGAAAATGGGACTACTGTCTTCCCACGCAGAGTTTTGTAGTTATGACACTTTGCATCAGTCCTGATAGGTTCCATGCTGTTATGATTGGCAGCTGTCTCAAGCCTTTTGATTTCAAGGTAAGCTGTTGACAAGTGTAGTAACATTCTCTTTCATACGCACCCATGGTTTGTTATTCTACACGGTAATAAAACAATCTTGTCCAAATCAACAGCATGGTCCAACAGACTGTTCCTTTTTACAGGCTTGACTGTATGCTTTGACGCAAACGGATTATTGAACAAGGTGAATTCTTCAAACTCATTTGGAACAAAACAAGACCTTGCTTCCAATTTATCACAATGTGGCCCAATATTCCATAGTATATTTGTTAATGTCTGGACGAAATCTTTACCTTGTAGGAGGTAAATGTGGAAAACCCATGCCATCTCTCTTGCAAGAAGTCTATTATACTGTTAAAGAGAGCATGTTTCCTCGTAATTTCCTTCACTTTTACAGGAAACTGTGCATTGTCTCGCTGCATTAATATGGAAAAAACATTTTCCCACACGTTTGAAGTCCATGCCACTCACAATAACTTGCGCTTCCACTTTGGCACTGCATTGTGGAAATTTCCCTTGATGGTGACAGATCAAAAAGTTGTACTTAAGATACTTCCCAGACGAGTCTACTATTGATCCAATAGAGTCTAAACTTGTAATGTGTGTGAAAAGTCGTACTAAAATACGCTATTTGAAGGGGGCGTGGCCTAAATGCAAATGTCCGATTGGGATTTTAAATTTTCCGGACCCCTGCAATAGACCCAGCTATTTGCTGTCCCAAAAACCAGACTTTGAGCAATGTTTGAAAGTTTTGCCTGTAATGTTTCGCAGACACTCACATGTTATGTCTATGAATTCACATATTGTTGTCGATGCTTCGACGCCTATTATAGTCCATGGCAACAACGACTGTCCTTGTTTTTCAACTTAAACTGACACTAAAAGTGACATCATGAAAAACACAACATAAAGTATACCAACCATGCTTTGAATTCCGCGAATGCCTACCCGTCATAACTACTGCACAAGGTGCAGAGAAACACAGTGCACCTGCAAAGGGAAGTAACCGTGTGCTATATGGGATCGGGTTATTTTTAGTTTAGCAGCAATCCATTGTCAAAGTCGTGTGTTCAAGATGCAGGATATTTTAAAAAAATAATTTCGAAATGGACATGCGGCGGACTTTAATATGATGCGGTGGTGACTTAGAACCTAATCTCATTAAAATCAGATCTTAGTTGTCTCTATCACTAAACAAACATCTGAGGACATCCCATTAAGGGTCATGTCAGAATGACCTTTCATCCAACTAATCAGAGCGCCGCTTACCAGATCATGAAAGTGACAGTCGGAATGTTTTTTCTAATCATGCAACCACGAAATATTTAACACAGGGTATTCCGAACGACAGTTACGGGTTTTATGATTATATCCATACAATCTAGGCCATCTATTAGCCATTCCAGAATGTTCTTCTTATCAGATTTAATATTTTTAATCGAGATTACTTCAAAATGTTTTAGAGCGTAGTCGCCAGTTTGAAACTAGTGCCGTAAAACTCGAGAAAGCTGCCTTCTGATTGGCTTATGTCGATTTCTTGTCAGTCATTTCATTGGTCGGTCAAAATTCGCAAAAGGCCGTTCTGACATGACCCGTAATGGGATGTCCTCAGATCTTTGTTTAGCGGTAGCGAGAACTATGATCTGATTTTAATGAGATTGCTTAGAACCAAGATCATTTTTTTTAGCCTGGTGTCTTGTTTCTGGTTTGGCCAAACATTGCATGATACTGTTGGCTCTTTACTGAATGTAGACCCAACGATCAGCAAAAGTTGTTAGCTTTCTTTCAATGACACAGAATACAGTCTTGTTCTTGATCCATACACAGGTTTACAAGTCAAATTAGCCATCATTATTTTCATACTAAACTTGATGTTTTGAAGAGGTTGTTTCATTGTGTCTACTCACTGCTATAATATGTATATTGCCGAAAATTTGTTGATATGACCTTCAATTTTAGCTCACGCACTCACCCACACCGTTCTGGGCAACTGCTTCAGTACCCCTGATGAAATTGTTTTAGTAAAACCAAAATATTTTTTACATTTGTATACTTATCCTGCATAACTCCTTAATGCATTCACTGCTTACTTACGACAACTAGAAGGACAGCGCTGCGAAGGTCCTGGGTGAAGAAATAAAGTTGTTGTTCTCAAGTCCCAATCAGTGGCCTTCCGTCGCTGTCCTGTGACCTTGATGACACCTAAGGTCATCTTCACATCACTGCCTGTCACCCAAGCTCTTAGAAAAACATACTTTTGAGGTTTCCGAAGCCAAAGTGGGGAGGCAAGTCTTACGACGGGTGGGCCTTAAGCGTAGTAATGCAGGATAAGTATACAAATGTAAAAAATATTTAGATTTTACTAAATTTTTTACTTATCCTGCATTACTCCTTAATGCATCTGTATCGGACGGTTTGGAGGCGGGTAAACCTTCAGAATACAGAAACCTCAATAATTCACACCCTGCAATACGACACCAGTTGGTCGATAGACCGTGAAGTGGAAAAGTTCAGACAAAAGCGATTATGCGACTAACTTCTGTCGTGGACGAACCACGCCTAGTCTTTGAGCGTCGAATGAAAACTCGAACTGCTCGCGCCGAGCCTAGGAGAACTTCACCATGTACGATTCCCACAATAGTCGATATCGGTGGGATGGTGAAGGAACGGTCGGGTTGGCCTGGTAGTAGATTTTAGCAATAAAATCCCAGCATAACCCCAGATGTCCCGTTCCGTGCGTCCCATGCTCAAAACGGATCCGGGTTGAGTCGATCACATGTAGTTCGCTCACCCGTACCGCCATTGCTAATGCCAAGAGAAACCATTGTTTCCTTGGTGATGTCCAAGCTCCTCACAGCGATAGCCCGTTCGCGGAGCTCTCTATACTATACCGAGAGTATAACGAAGGTGTCACGCGCCGGGAAGGAGCTTGAAAATGAGGATGCAATGAGGGGCTCGAAGGGGGCCCTCGCAAACCTCGAAGTACCACGTTCAAGTCCCAATCAGGTGGGTGGAACTTGGCCTTCTGATCCTCAAGCCTGAATGAGCATAATATGGCCTGTAGTTCCGTGACCTTAATCACATTGTGATTTTCCGGAAAACGACCAACACTAAGATAATTGCAGCCAATTACGTAGTAATGGTGCTACCTTCCAAGTGTTTTTGGGTACGCAATGTAGGAGGTATTCCTCTAGGAATTGTGACGCAATCGTAGGGTCTTGATTCTTTTCTTCCCTGTAAAAAGTCTCAAGTGATCCCCAATTGTCATCGTCGTCTCTGGGAGAGTAACGATGAACTAAAGCTACAGCTTTGCTGCCTGTGTCGAAATAACCCTTCGCACCTAAACGCCTTTTAAAGACGTTGGGTGAGGCAATTTTCTGTTGAGGGTGGATGAGTAGGTTGGACCACTGTGAGAGGGGTAGTGAATCGTTTTAGATTTTTCCGAGCTTGACGAACTACCCTCTCGCCGGTTACCAGGGTGCGACCAAAGGAGAGATCGAGATACCTTGTCTCTTTGATCCCCTGTATCACCTTGGGAAGTAAAAGTGGTGGCAGAAAAGTGTTAGTTTTTTCCCCTTCCCAAGTGATACTGAACTCGTCCACAGCCCAAGTCTGCGGATCCGGCAACGGGGAGATATACGTCATGAGTTGGTGGCCTAGGCAAGTAATAAACAAGTCAATGTTTGGTTGCCTGAATTCCCGAAGCAGTAACTTGAATGCTTCTGTGAGAAATTTCCACTCGGTGGGAGCCACCCTGTCTGGACGTGATAAAGTATCGGCCAGTCTGTTTCTACATCCGGGGATGTGCTGAACTATGAACTTTAGTCACAGCCGATCCACTAGATGGAACAAATCTGAATGTCCTTAGAAGTAGAGAGTGGGAGTGTGTCGTTGCCCCGATTGCACAGGCACCACACCGCAGTGCTGTTGTCTGTGGATATTGCGAGTCGGGCTAACTGTAGTTGATTCTCCCAATGTGATATAGCCAGAATTAAAGCTTCCAACTCAAAGTTGTTTATGTGCCACTTCCATTGAGCGCCGGGCCATAGCCCTGAGTTTATCTGGTCTTGTAAGTGAAGACCCCACCCCTGAAAAGGGGACGTCCACAAACAGGTGTGTATTCGGGGAAAACCCGAATAAAGAGACTCCGCAGACATTCAATGCCACAAATTGAGGCAAGGCTCTAGCTTAGTCGGTAGAGTGATGACCTTGAGTGGATCCTGAGTGGTGCAGGTCTATGCTGGATATGTTGGAACAGCGCTAAGCTGATCGTGCGTCGCTTGCGTAATAGAAGTGCTTGGGTTGTAGTCAAGTGCTGCGCTCGGCGCAGATAAATCAGACACAAAGCTCAAGAGTATTGACTGGATCAAGGCTTGCGTCTAATCTACCCCAATCATAGCATCTTGATGCGCTGGTGCTGTTGCCGACGTCACAGATTAACATACATGTATCTGGAAGTGTCCGGCGGCTGAAAAAATAGGAGCAGTTACGATACTCACAAAGTCCTCTGGTATTGTTGATTTCGGTGGATGGTGTACTTCTGCAGTCACAGGCGTCATAATACCTGCCGATAATAACGGTTGGGTGGTATTGACCGAACCATGTCATTCGCTATTCTGCGATAGTGACATTCCTCTCGTCTCACGACGGAATAACTGCAAAATATGATTGTGAGTAATCTGCTTTTATATAGTAAACTCGTTGGATTAGAGATTTACACAAAAATTACATTTTGAATTTTGGCGAGCACATCTACGTGCATGCCTAGGACCATGGATAAAGAGCTTTGGGCGATTATTCCACGACAATATGTACACCACGCAAACATAAGTTACGCAATTAAACCATTGAAGAAATGGTACTGGAAGAATGCCGTAGAATTGAACAGTAATCTATTGGCAAAAATACGAATTGCAAGGGTATACAATATTTTTATATACGCAATTCAATGTAAGCCAAGGCTATTTACATTTAGAGATTGGAGAGCACATCTGTGCGCAAACCAACCAACGTGGATGATAATCTTTGTAAGGTTTTTTCCACGACAATTAGTGCAATGCTCAAAGGTATGTTACGCAATTAAACCCTTGTTGATGAGACAATACTGGAAGAGTGCCGAAGAATTTGAACACTAATCTATTGGCAAAATTATGAGTTGCATAGGTAAACAATATTTTTGTATGCGCAACTGAATGTAAACCAAGGGTATTTATATTTTCATTTAGGGTTTGGAGAGCACATCTGCGTACAGACCAAACAACGTGGATGATAATCTTTGTAAGATTTTTCCCCCGACAATTAGTACCACGCTCAATCATAAGTTACACAATTACGCCATTGGTGATGAGGTGGTACTGGAAGAATGCCATAGAATTGAACAATAATCTATCGGCAAAAACTACGAGTTGCAAGAGTATACAATAGTTCATATACGCAACTCAATGTAAACCAATAAGACCAACAAAAAACTATTTAATCGCATAAACATAGGTACGCAATAAAAGAATTGTTGATGAAGCGGGACTGGAAGAAAGACGTAGATTTGATATTAATCTATCGGCAACCATATTTTTAACGAGTTGAAAAAGTATACAATAATTTGAGTATACGCAACTCACTGTTACGCCAAAGCTAGTAGTATTTAGAACATAAGAATATGTTATACATACGTAACTGAGAATTGTAAACAATATGACTACCTTGGCAGGCAAATGATTGTAACACAATTCAAAATGGCGGCAAACAACAATATTTTGGCGGGAAAAAAGACAAGAGTCTTTTCACGCCTAATTAATTCACATAAAACTACACAACATGGTGAAAGTAATATGAAAAGAATACATTACCGATCGCAGATCAATTTTTAAGATTGTAGACAAACTGAAGGTCTAAAATTAATCCAAAAGGAGAGCTCCGCTTGGATACGTCCTAGCTGTGCTGCGACAAGCAGTGATGTGAAGATGACCTTAGGTGTCATCAAGGTCACAGGACAGCGACGGAAGGCCACTGATTGGGACTTGAGAACAACAACTTTATTTCTTCACCCAGGACCTTCGCAGCGCTGTCCTTCTAGTTGTCGTAAGTAAGCAGTGAATGCATTAAGGAGTAATGCAGGATAAGTAAAAAATTGCTTGACTTGTAAATATCACTACACTCTCATATCTGTCAATGGTAAGTGTATACCCCAGAGAGGCAATGAGAAGCATGCTGTACCTTAACTCTCTCTTGAGCAGTTGTTCATTCTCTGTTGTATTTGTCTCTACTCTCCCCTTATCTTCCAGCTGATCTAGGATATCTGAAACAAACCCATCTCATATCTAATACTGTTCAGTCATCACACAACACATTTTCCTTGATTTCAGATTCATATATTCTGAAGGCATTGCACACAGGTTGGTAGTTCCTGATGATTGGTCCAGAACACACTAAAATCAAATATGAAATGTAAGAGGAACTTTTGGCAACACCATAGCTAAGCTTATTCCTGGAAAGTAACAGTTTCATAGGCAATGTAGTTTCAGATGACAGAGCTGCAAGTTTGATATTAATATGACCAGAAAGCTTGGAAAACATTCATAAGTTGACTGCTTCGTGAAGGTATGTTGAAATTGGCATTGATTAAGTTTTCTATCAGATGCTCACTATGTGAACTTCCAATGAGAAATTTAGTAAAATCTAAATATTTTTTACATTTGTATACTTATCTTGAATTACTCCTTAATGTATTCACTGCTTACCTTGCAACAAAAAATCTGGGACAGCATACCGGCGATGGTCCTTGGGTGAAGGCTCTGTTCCGTAATCCCACTTTTACATCCCGCCGTCGCTGTCCCTGTGTCCTCACGTTACCAAAGGTCAACTCTTCACATCACTGCCTGTCGCCCGAGCTTAAAAAACATACTTTTGAGGTTTCTGAAGCCAAAGTTGGGAGGCAAGTCTGCGACGGGTGGGCCTTAAACGTAGTAATGCAGGATAAGTATACAAATGTAAAAAATATTTAAATTTTACTAAATTTTTTACTTATCCTGCATTACTCCTTAATGCATCTGTATCGGACGGTTTGGAGGTGGGAAATCCTCACAATACAGAAACCTCAATAATTCACACTCTGACAACATGACACAGATTGGTCAGTAAACCGTTAAGCAGAAAAGTTGAGAGAAAACGCTAATACGGTAGGGTATTACAATGTGGCAAACAATTGCACTTTGGAATTAAAGAATAGTTCCCTATACATTTTAGTAATAAAGACAAGCTGCTCAGCCAAATCTTTACTTACTATATAATTATAGCCCTGATGACAATAACTTGTCTTCCACTAGCGAAATCTGAAAGATTACACCGAACAGGAAATGGCTCTGTATAGGGTGCATACATTATTTGCGTCGAGGGTTGGTAACTTGCTGAGCTACAACCAACGGCCCAAAACTCCGTACACCTTCAATGTCCTCGAGAGTCACATCGCGAAGATAATGACTAGCGAAAACTGTGTCAGACCTCCAAAAACATCCTTCCATGATTGTCTTGATAGTACAATTGCTGTGTAAGGCCATGGTAGAGGCTAATGCCCTGATCTCATGAGGATTATTCGTTCTTGGTGGATCCAAATTGGCGATCGAATAGGCATGAAGGATGACTGCGCGAAACCATAAGGATATGGTGTTGCGACTGACCTCGGTCGTGAATGTAGTAGATACGGGTATAAATAACCGCTTCCTCAAACCACACCTAGTCTTGGAACGGCGGATGAAAATTCGCAGTGCCCGTACCGGACATAATAGAAGTTCACCCTCATCCTCACTGCCCACAATCGTCGAGATTGGTAGAATGGTGAAGGAACGATCAGGTTGGCCTGGTAATTGATTTTTGGCAATAAAATCCCAGCACAACCCTAGATGTACCGCTCCGTGCGTCCCATGCTCAAAACGAAACCGGGTGATGTCGATTGCATGTAATTCGCTCACCCGTGCGGCTGTGGCTAATGCCAAGAGAAACATTGTTTTCTTTGTGAGGTCATAAAAGGAGGATGCATTGAGGGGCTCAAATGGGGGTCCTCGCAAACCTTGAAGTACCACGTTCAGATCCCACGCAGGTGGGCGGAACTTGGTCTTCTGATCCTCAAGCCTGAATGAGCGTAATAAGGCCCGTAGTTCCGGGATTTAAGTAATCTTACGATTATCTGGAACGGCCAACACTGAGTTAAGTGCAACCAAGTACGTGGTAATGGTGCTACCTTTCAAGTGTCTCTGGGTACGCAGATGTAGGAGGTATTCAGCTAAAAACTGAGGTGACGCTGTAGTAGGATCTTGACCTTTTGCCTTGCAAAAAGTTTCAAACGATCCCCACTTATCATCGTAAAGGCCTCTAGTAGAGGGACGATGAGCTAAGGTTATAGCTTTTGCTGCCCGAGCCGAATAGCCTTTTGCACTTAATGCCTTTTTAAGACGAACCAACCATGCAGACGAAATTTGTCTGGTGTTGGATGAGGCAATTTGCTGTGAGGGTGGATAAGTAGATTGGACCACCGTGGAAGGGGTAGTGGATCGTTTCCTGCTAGCTTTCTGAGCTTGACGAACCACCCTCTCGCTGGCCACCAGGGCGCGACCAAAGTCAGAGCAAGTATTCTTGTCTCTTGGATCTTTTGTATTAACCTGGGAAGTAGAACTGGTGGCGGAAATGCATACGCTTTTAGTCCTTCCCAAGGAATGCTGAATGCGTCCACCGCTCCCAAGCCCTCGGATCTGGTAACGGGGAGACATATGTCAAGAGTTGGTGGTTTTGGCAAGTTCAGTCCTACGTACAACCCCCTTAGCAGTGCTCGATCTGAGCACATCTAAGATCTCTGTTGCTGTCAACACCAATTTTCTGGTGGACAATTAATTAACACACTGGGGGGTTGGGGTGAGGTGCGGGAGACATTCACCAGCATCTGGATGGTTTAGGATTTCTTGCTAACTTGAATAAAGATAAACAATCTAATTTTAGCTACAATTAATATTCCATGGTTCTCCCACTTCGATTTGTTTTACTCTCCTCAACAAGCTGTGTACACACATGGACATAGAAATATCTTGTGAGAGAATACATTTTATCAGTGAAGTTAATATATTCATCACGCAAAGTGCTACATTTATGAGCCTGGATACATCATGAAGTTGGGTGAGTAATGTTTTAAGTTATTCCTTGTGACTTCTGTAAATATATATTTATTTATTTAGAGATGTATATGTATTGAGAAATGATAACATACACACCAGTTACCATTTACTTTCGAGAAAAACAGTTGAAATGTAAATCCAAACAGAATTATCTAACCTAATTATAATTAATTGTATATTTGATAAACTAATTCCTTGATAATGTATACACTCTTTGAAACCATATTGAAACTTAATTTGGGTATGAAAAAACAGCATAATACCAGCAAGCAAACTTTTTCTTTTAGGCTTGCTTAACAAGGATGTTTGGGCTGAGCACAATACCGGTTTTAGTTGATAAGGAGAACAAATGGATCAACATTGAGGACTTCTGTAAATTTTTGAGGACTGAACACCATGAAGAAGACAGAATAAAGATAAAAAAAGAAAATATCCGAAGAGAAGTTGCTTCCTATTGCAATAATTATATCAAGACAGACGGAAATGCAATTTTTCTCAATACAGTTGCAATTGTAAAATACATATGTCACCACAGTGATGACTTTAGAATATGCTCAAAGATAACACAGAGCATTCACAGCAGTATATTTGGAGGCCAACAGAAAACAAACTCAAGAACATTATTTGACTTATATAAACAGATTGCAACATCACAATTTACACATGATATCAATGACCTTATTGATTACACTGCCATTGAATCAGATGTTCCGAACTTGGAAATATTATACAAGAAGCATTTCACAGAGAAGGAGTGGTCTAATATTTGTTTGTTTGAGTTGCACTTTGCAAATGACATTGTAGCGACTGAGCGTGATAATACCACTGACAAAAAATGGGAATATTTTGGAACAGTTGCCAGTACAAAACATCTTAGCAGTGCTATACTGAAAACTGAAAACTGCAAAATCCACAATCACAAGACGACTAGACAGATATAGTTCGCACATTGAAGCAGAAGGCATTGAGATATACGCAACATTTCGTCATCGCCCTCATATTGTAGAAAATCAAATATTAAATGATCTAACTAACATTTTCCCTGGAGAAATACTATCAGTCACCTGCGTGAGTTGCCATTGTGTTTCAACCAAAAATCATCAAGATCTTGTGGAGGTGTTTGTGGAATGTAACCCAGCAATTGAGGAAAGAAATGCTGAACTTCTACAAAGGATCATTACCAGTAGACTGAATCAAGAGCACTGCTTACAATGTCATCTTATTGTGTTGTTTCCACTTGGATCACTTGAACCATATTACCAAAAGAATGGCCAAATTGCAAGGTTAAGTCTTCATGATGACTTTCGCATGAAGAAACTTCAAAGTGAAAACTTTCTGCAGCTCAATGCTCTTTCACAAAATGAAGTTACAGAGATTTCCCTCGATTCCCGTGAAAAATGTCGATCTTGTTTCACAGCAAATATACCGAAACCACTCTCTGTCTCTAACTTTGAAATCCTTAAGGAATGGACTTTGGATGTACCACTGGTTGTGCAAAGCGTCTTGGATACATTCATCAACAAAGATACCATTCAGCAATCTAATAACACCCAAAAGACCATGAAGAAGAAATTAGAACAACTCTATACAGCTTATGACCTGCTATTGAATACTTACAAGAATTTTATCGGAGTTCTGCAGCAGGCAACAACTGATGAGCTTCTAATGAACTACCATAGCATAAGCAATGTCTTCTCAATAACAAGTGCTTCTGGAATAACAACATCTTTGTCTCTTGCTGAAAGAAATTTAACAAGCAAATTCATTGATGACACCTTGTACTTTGCAACCTATATCAAGGAACACCCTCTCACATATAATACCTTAGCAGGTGAAGTGAAGGGCATAGTGAGCATGAGAGGATGCCACATAGTGCTGATGCTTGACAATCTTGTCCGCCTGAAGTATCACAGTGACCCAAGCCCAGGAGAACATCGTTCGAAACAGCTCTGCATGTTGCCAATAACACTGCAAGGCATGCCAAAGGATTCAGTTGAAACAGAATCTTGGCATGATGCAAACATATGCGACGGGACACTTGCATGCCAATGCAAACGACAAATATCACTGTCAAAACCTGAAGCTTTTGATGTCATTCTGAATCCTTCCACACAAGAAACAACCAGTATTGGAATAT